CAGTCTCACTGCAGACACACTCCCACAGTCTCATTACAGACACACTCATGGTCTCACGACACACACACTCTCTGTCTGACTCTGAGTTCCTCGCCTGTATAGATCTTGTTTCCCTCTGTGATGTCCGGTAAGAAGTAGGAAAGTCCCTCCGGCTTAGGCTGGAGTCAGAGACAGAAAGAGAGTGACAAACATTAATATCTCCACAATATCAGTTACTCATCTATCCAATCTGTGCAGGCCAATGTGCACTTGTCTATGCTATACTTTGTACTCAGCCTGGAGCATTTTGTGCTCAGTCTTACAGACACATTGCAGTGCATGGACATGTGTCACAGACAGCACAAGGACTGTGCAACCTGCAGGCCTGTGTATGAGACACCATTCCCATGGTGGACCTTTACAGTCAGGACCCTATTGGTCCCAGAAAAATGAGATTGCACCTTTCCCATTGACCAAAAGTTCATGATGAGCCCAATCCCTGCTGTATTCTCACACCAACCACAGTGCAACCAAACTTTTCTCATGCTCCATCAATGAATGTTCCCAATTACAAGCTTGGCTTCTTGCAATGACTGTCCTGATGAGTTCCAGACACAAGCTTTGACTTTTTATTTATTTTCAGAACTGTTCAAATTCTGTACTAACCAAGACATTCTGTACAAACCATGACATTTTATGTTTAAGGTGATTTAAAGACCAAGTGTACAAGGAGGGGTCATCAACAAGAAGGGGCTGCTTTGTCCTGGATGATATCAAGCTTCTTCAGTGTGGTTGGGGCTGCCCCCATCCAGGCAAATGGGGAGTATTCCATCACATTCCTGACTTGTGCCTCGTAGGTGGTGGACAGGCTTTAGGGAGTTGGGAGGTTTATCACTTGTTATGGTATTCCTAGCCTCTAGCCTTCTCTTGTAGCCACTGTGTTTATGTGGTGAGTCCAGTTGAGTTTCTGGTCAATGATAAACCCTAGGATGCTGATAGTGGGGGATTCAGTGATGGTAACACCATTGAATGTCAAGGGGGGATGGTTAGATTGTGTCTTATTGGTCATGGTCATAGCCTGGCATTTGTGTGGCACGAATGTCGCTTGCCACTCGTCAGCCCAAGCCTGGATATTGTCCAGATCTTGTTGCATTTGGACACAGACTGCTTCAGTATCTGAGGAGTTGTGAATGTTGCTGAACATTGTGCAATTATCGGCAAACATCGCCACTTCTGACCTTATGATGGAGGGAAGGCATTGATGAAGCAGCTGAAGATGGTTGGGTTCGGTCTATAAAGTACAGTGTATTGTCCTGTGCAGTGTACACTCTCCATACAGAGGGGTATTGTCCCATGTTCTATTGTATCCTGCAAACTGGGCTCACCTCTGCTTTACTTTTCGCTTTCTTTTCTTTCTTCGCCTCTTTCACATTGCCTTTCTTTCCTTTCTGATTTTCTTTCTCTTCCTCTTCAGCAAGAATCTCCGCCAATAGCTGGGTTTGGGGTAAAGGCAGGAATGTGAAAGACAGATCCTGTAGAACTCCTATGTCTGTGAGAGACAAAACTGCAGGGTATTCGCCATGAGACTATTAGAGCGAGTGGGGGTAGAGTGTGGATCTGATGTTACAATCACATCAGCCATGATTGTAGTGAATAGAGGGGTAGGATGGAGGGGCTAAATGGCCTCCTCCTGCTACTGATTTGTAGACAGTTAACCAATGCAGCAGCATTGAGATTCCCTCACACACACGAAGATATTAGATCCAGGGCTTGATGCCACTATAGCAGGTCGTGAGATTAACTTCAGTCATTGGGTCATTTTGTGGCTATTTCCCCAGAAGCATCAGGAAGGAATAGGTGACCCCCCACCTGAGTCTGGGCCTACATGTGACTCCTTCCCTCTCTGCCTGGGTAAAACTGAACGTTTGCTGGAATCTTTGAGGGCAGAAAAGAGGCTGTAGGAGGAGGTCACGGGTCTTGGGGTAAGAATTACTGCCCACCCCACCCCCCCACCAAGAGACAGGACAGACGAGGAAGTAGAGATGTCTGTCTGCTCGAATTGGCAGCATGGATTGGCTAGAGACCAACTCAAGTGGGCTGTCCAACAAAGAAACAGCAGCTCAATGGGAGGAGCTGGGAGACTCTATCTCCACTTGCCACTGCACTGAATTTGTGGGATCACCAATCGAGATAAACAGCCCCCTCCAGAGACAAGGAAACACTGATGTCACCGGGTGGGCAACATTGACCATCTCCAATTCACCATCACTCTGAAGAAACCAACACCATGGAAGGGAGTGAATAGCGGGAGTGTGATAATAGAGGAATGGGGGAGTATTGGAATGGACGAATGGGGGAGAGTGAACATAGAGAATTGGGAGAGTGAGAAGAGAGGAATAGAGGGAGTGTGAGAATAGAGGAATGGAAGAGTGTGAGAACAGAAGAATTGGTGAGGTTAAAAAGAGAGGAATGGGGAGGTAAAGGATGACGAAATGATAATGGGAGCTATAAGCCAAATCAGGCCACATAAAGCATTTTCTATTCATGGGGTTGGAGTAATTTATTCGCTTGGATAGAGGGCTGACGAACCAACTGAAAACAGAGAGTCAGGATAAACGGGTCTTTTTCTGGTTGGCAACATGTAAGGTGCCACAAGGCCCCAACTATCTACAATCAATATTACTCACATCATGGATAGAAGGCACTGTCGCCAAATTTGCAGACAACATGAAATGGCTGGGAAAGTAACTTACAATGAAGAAAGAAGAAATTTATAAATGGATATGGATAGATTAGGTGCATGAGCCAAAATTTGGTACATGGAATTTAACATGGATAAGTGTGAGGTCATCCATTTTGGTCGGAAAAACAGATGAGAACTTATTATCTAAATGGAAAGAAACTTCAGAATGCTTTGGTGCAGAGGGATCTGGGCGTCTGTGTGCATGAATTACAGAAAACTAGTTGTAGTGCCTGGAACAAGGTCAGCCAGGTGGTCCTCATAGAATATGCGTTCTCTGATTGGTGTTGTTAATCTGCAGATAGAAACAGGAGTGTCAGAGATTCTGATCACTCTGAGAGCTGGCTCTGAGGGAGTTGGATCAGTGTCAAGACTGTCCACGTGTATCTAAGGGGTGACTTGGTGATGGGATACCAGCCTCTGTGGAGTTATTTCACCAGTGTGCAGGTACAGCAGGTAATATGAAAGGCAAATTGAATTCTGCCATTTACTGCAAAAGAAATAGAGTATTAAAGTAGGCAAGTGTCGTACAAGCTATTAATGAGACAGTACCTGGATTATTGCATCACGTTTAGTCCTACTACATGAGGAGGAATGTAATTGTATTGGAGGCAGTTCAGAGGAGGCTCACTACATTGATTCCAGAGATGAAGGATTTATCTTGTTAAGTGAAATTGAGCAGTTTAAGCTGATACTGTATGGAGTTTGGGAATTTAGAATAATGAAAGGAAATATAATTGATGCAAACAAGCTGCTAAAGGAGATTGACAATGTAGACGTAGACAAGGTGTTTAAAGTTTTGGCAAAGATCTGTAGCTCGGGTTGTGGGTGAGGTTGCTGATTTGCTCACTGAGCTGGCTTGTTCTTGTTCAGGTGTTTCATCACCATGCTAGGTAACATCATCAGTGAAGCCTCCAATGAAGTGATGTTATTCTACTCCGTTTGGAATTTATACTGTCTGATCCATTATGGTGAGTTGTGTCATTTATGATTTTAATCTGTATAGATTTGTACATGGGGTCCAATTCTACATGTTTGTTGATTGCATTACGGGTTGAGAACCATGCCTCTAGGAATTCCCATGTATGTCTACGTTTGGCTTGGGCTACTATGGTTACCTTGTCCCAGTTAAACTGATGGCCTTCGTTGTCTGAATGTACCGATAATAAGGAGAGTTCATCGTGCCGTTTTGCTACTAGCTGATGTTCCTGTATTCTAATGGCTAGTGTCCCTCCTGTCTGTCCAATGTAATGTTTGTGGCAGTCATTCCGTGGTATTTTGTAAACCACGTTGGTTCTGCATAAATAAAAAATGAAAGAACTGCAGATGCTGTAAATCTGGAACAAAATCAACGTTGCTGGAAAGGCTCAGCAGGTCTGGCAGCATCTGTGAAGGAAAAATCAGAGTTAACGTTTCGGGTCTGTTGACCCTTCCTCAGGACTGGTTCTGCAAGTTGTGGGAATGGGGTCTTTAATCCTTGTAAGTATTTGTTGTAGAGTGGCCATGGGCTTGTGTGGCACCATGATTCCCAGTGGTCTTCAGAGTCTTTTTGTCATTTCCGATATGTTCTTGATATAGGGCAGTGTGGTCAGTGTGTTAGGGCGTACTATGTCCTCCTGTTGTTGTCTGTTCAGTAGGCATCTGTGGATGAAGTTGCAGGATATTGCAGGCAGACAACAACAGGAGGACACAGTACGCCCTAAGACACTGGCCACACTGCCCTACATCAAGAACATATCGGAACTGACATCAAGACTCTGAAGACCACTAGGAATCATGGTGGCCCACAAGCCCACGGCCACTCTACAATAAATACTTACAAGAATTAAAGACCCCATTCCCACAACATGCAGAACCAACGTGATTTACAAAATACCATGCAACCACTGCCACAAACATTACATCGGACAGACAGGAGGGAAACTAGTCATCAGAATACATGAACATCAGCTAGTAGCAAAACGGCACGATGAACTCTCCTTATTATTGGTAGACTCAGACAACGAAGGCCATCAGTTTAACTGGGACAAAGTAACCATAGTGGCCCAAGCCAAACATAGACACACACGGGAATTCCTAGAGGCATGGTTCTCCACCCATAATGCAATCAAAAAACATATAGAATTGGACCGGATATACAAACCCATACAGAACAAAACCAGAAATGACATTACTCACCATAATGACCAGACAGTATAAATTCCAAATGGAGTAGAATAACATCGCTTCATCGGAGGCTCCACTGATGATGTTACCTAGCATGGTGGCGAAACGTCTGAACGAGAACAAGCCAGCTCGGCGAGCAAGTCAACAATCTCATGTAGATACAATGGTTCCTCATGTGGGGCAATCTAGAATGAGAGGTCATAGATTTAGGAAAGGGGCGAGCAGATTCAAATAAGAGATGAGGAGAAATTACTTCTCTCAAAGGGTCGTGACTCTGTGGAATTCACTCCCCCGGAGTGTGCTGGGCATTGGGACATTGAGTAAATTTAAGGAGGAGACAGACAGATTTTTAATTAGTAACAGGTTGAAAGGTTACGGAGAGTGGGCAGTAAAGTGGAGTTGAAGCCGAGATGAGATCAGCCATGATCATGTCAAATTGAGGAGCAACTGAAGGGGCTGAATGGCCTACTCCTGCTCCTAGTTCCTAGGTTCTTATTATGTTCTAAAGATGTTTTGGGTATCTCTGGCTGGGCCAGCATTTATTGCCCTGTCTCTAGTTGCCCTTGAGAACGTGGTGGTGAGCTGCCTTCTTGAACCGCTGCAGTCCTACTGCTATGGGTTAACCCACAATTCCCTTACAGAGGGAATTCCAGGATTTTGACCCAGTGATCTCCATCTGTGGATTCACTACTATCATGTGGGTAAAAAATTGAAAGCGACATTTTCTAGAAACTTCTCATTGAAAAGAACGTCCTACCTGGTCTGGTGTTTTCTCAGCAAAGATAATGTCTGAGCCTCCCTGTTCCACAGTGGGATAGTCTGGGAACTTTCCGGAAGTGTTACTGTGGGCACAATGCAG